TTATCTGCAAGAAATACCATTTGCCTGCAAGCAAGAACTGGTGGGACCACAAAACAGACAGTCATAAAAAATGAAGAAGCTAAAGTGTTCTGGGACTTCAGAATACAGACAAGCACCTGCCACACAACACCCCAGACTTAAAAGTTGTTGATAAGAAAGACAAAAGAGTCTGGATAGTGGACATCCTGTAACAATACCTTTAACACCATCAACCATCAAACAAGACATCTGCCTATCCCAGGTCCTTGGGAAGGACTTGATAGGTGGATAAAAATGTCAAATCCAGTGTAAACATCTGGCTGACTGTGTGACCAACCATAGTAATAAAAATGTGATGCTGTTCTTACTATAAAAAGAATTTATTAAAATACTTCAGTATTTTATCTTAACCGAATCCTCTCAAGTTAGCAATAACATTCATATGTTATTGAACAAGGCAGTGTTTTTAAATGGATATATAAAGTATGCTACTCTAGAGCAAAGTTTACGATACTAGTCTAACAAAAAAAAGTACATTATTAATCACAATGTATATGTGCAACAGTTACATAACAAATAAAAATAGCCCTGTTGGATCAGGTCAAAGTTCATTTAGTCCAGCATTCTGTTTTGCACAGTGGTCAACCAGATGCCTCTAGGGTTCTTGCAAGCAGGAGATGGAGATGTACCTTTTTCCTGCTGCCGTTTCCCTGCAAGAGATTTCAGTTCTCCTTTCCACAGGAATTCTACTGTGTGAAGAAGTACCTTTGATTGTTCTAAATCTCTTCATGAATTTCACTAGATGGCCCTGGTCCCAAGTGTTTTAAAAGAAGGAGAAAAAATTCTATCCCTATGCTCTATGCCAGGGGTTCTCAAACTACGGCCCGTGGGACGGATACGGCCCGCCAGGGTCATTTATCCGGCCCGCTCGCCTGATTGGCCGCCGCTGCTGTCTGTCAGAAGCGGAAGTGTCGGGGCTGTGTCGGGAGCTGGCGGCGGTGCCAGAGGAGGGGGGTCGCAGAGCG